TATATATATACACACGCACACACACACAAACACACATACACACTTACACAGACACATACATACACATACATACCTACACACACATTCACATACATGCATATACACATACACATACACAAACACTGAGGAAGAGATAAGTAAGAGGAAAATGTGTATATTATTTATTATTTATGTTTTGTGTATGCATGTACATGTGTGCATGCATATTAAGTGGATAAAAAGAGAGCGAAGAAAGGGTTTGGAAATATGTGGGGTCTGTGAGTGTGCGGACTAGACTGTGTAGGTCTGAGTCTTTCTTGTAGTTAATGGCCTGATAGATATAACGAAGATTGCCTTGGAGAATAATAATTCAGCCCTTTGTCAGTAAAAACGAGAAAGCTTTAGGCTTTAGGGTTTGTGTTCCGAACCTTTTATAGTCTCCAAAAAGATGCTGAAGAAAGCTACCACTGTCGCATCTCTCCGCCTGTGTAGACACACCACAAGGAGCATGCAAGAAATATTGTTTGTGATTACCCCAAAGCCTGCTAAAAATTTGAAGCAGAACCCCGATTAACGTGGTCAACTGAAAATACCTTATTTTTGTTAGCTGCATTATATTGATGCTATATAATTTATTATTCTGGAACACATCCATATGTAGAAGCCTTGCTCAGTAATGCTCCAGTTTGTATGTTTGTGGTACCAGATAAATTTACGAAGAACCATTTTACATTTCGTATTCGCCATGATCTTTCAGTCCTCCAAATCCTTTATTTCAGTGGTCGTGACATATAAGCATTGATACTGCATCCTGATCGTAGGACTGACGTAATGCTTTTAGACCTCATTAGGGTTTTGCTAGGACGACATATTATTGAGGTTTTACTAAGTTTATACACACATTGAGCTACGAGCAAACATGTTACCGGAAATTATAGTTGTAGATGTTTAAGGTACACCACGGCAGTAGCCAACAGCCTGAAAAGGTCGATTTTGGTATCCAAAACCGATTTTTCGATTTTGGATTATTTAAGCAGAGAAACATAATCTGCTTTACTGATTGGAAATAATGTCAGGTGTCTAAAACATCTATAACGAGCCCACATATGCCATGATTTTGAACATTGTGTTGAAATAGACTTGTATGAATTCATTTTTTTTCTTCAGTTTTCTCAAAACTATGATTTTCTTAGGGGGGGGGGGCACCTATGCAGAGATATTTCTGAACGTAAAAGTCACAACTCAATCCCACTTTGCATGACTGTTTCTAGATAATATGTTTGCAACGTACTAAAAGATCATTGTGATATTGTAATAAGTTTTCTGTCAGTGTAAAAAAGATTGACAGTATCACTCTGATTAAAATTTATGATCAATTTTTTTGTCCGAGTATCATATATGACACTAAAAAGGCAGTTACAACAAAAGTATGAGACTTAGGAAAGTAATCTTTAATACGTTGTAGGTTGGATATACAGAAACACGGTGAGAAAATATCAAGGCTGTATCCATTCAATCTTTTTCAGAATCCCAGCATAAAATTTGCGCGAATTTTGGTCTGTCGAACCCTTTGCATCTAAAGAATTTTAAAAATTGTTATATAGGGAAAGTGTGTTTCTGTTTCTTGACCCATATTGGTTATTGGGAATACCAGTATACTTAATTTAAAGGAGAAAAAAAATTTCACTTCAGCTGTACATAGTGACACTTAAAGTTTAAAGCATCCATCGGCACAATGTTATATTATTAAAAAGGCGAATTGCTTCAACCCTGCCTGTTGGGGTTCATCCGGGTTGAGAAGGATACAACGTTTAACCTAACGGACGAGAATACTCGATTAAAAAACTACATCGAAAAAAAGGGGTGCATTGAGATCAAAGTTTGTTTTGTTGAAAAGGACACTTGTTTCTGGAGGTATGTACAACATGTCATGTCTGTAAAATAAAATAAATTGCTGATTTTACAGAACAAGGAAGCTTACTTCTAGGACAGACCTCATTGCGCCTATCCGTTGCACCACTAACACCGGTAATATTGATATAATATAGACTAAACATGAAACATTTTATGCAAAAAAAATACGCTTGCAGTTATGTTCAGTGAGCCAAGAGAAACAAAGTTTCTTATTTTCACCTGAATAGGAAAAATAGTCTATAAAAAAAAGAAGAAAATCTATGTTTTCGACACATACAGAAGACGAGATAAAGAACAAAAGTCAGGCCGGTATCAAGATCACTGCGATTTATTTAAAAGGTAGATATTTATATATGAATGGCCGGGGAGAGGGAGAGTTTACTCTACAGAATTATAAAACATGTGCAGTTAAATTTTCGTTATTCATCCTCCCTCAGTTGGAAAATGTGACCGAGCACCCAAGCGCCTCTGCAGAAGCTTTGTGAAGGTAGCCGTAGATATCGCTGATCACATCAACAGCTCGTTCTGAGCACGACCGCCGAATACCTCTCTGGATGCATTTGAAGTTGTTGTTGATGGTTCTGGAGAGGAATTGATGTAAGTAGGT